AGCTGACCTAGTTGACTGTGTCCTTGCCTCTCCCAAAAAGTTCTTATCCCTCCTTATAAACCCTTCTCCACCTGGCTCCTCCTTACAACTTCCTGTCAGCTAGTTTCTGACCCAGCCTCCAGACTGCAAATAAATTTTATTTAATCAACTCATCTTTGCATCATTAAACAAATGTTCCAAAGCATAAACAAAAGAAACACACCTTGAAATAACATTCTGCAACACTGGGGAGTATTGCTTCATCTAAAACGAAGAGCTGGGCAGTGCCAATCAGATAATTCATTATACAAGTTGATGAGAAAGCTATCTAGCAATAGGAGCTAAAACTGAAAGATTAGTATGTAGAATGAAGGGCTCTAAAGGTTCATGGTATTAGGAGGAATTTAGCAGAAAGAGGAAAAGGGCAGAAAAAAAATAAAACAGCAGCACCATTGTATACACACACACACACACACACACACACACCAGCTCACTAGTGTCTTGGAAGAGATGCTGCTGAGCTAGAGAGATGGCTCAGGGGCTAAGAGTATTGCTGCTCTTGCAGGGGACCTGGGTTCTGCTTCCAGCATCCTCGTGCAGGCTCACAAGCATCTATAATTCCAATTCCAGGAGAACTGATGCCCTCTCTGGCCTCCTTGGGCACACAGTACAAAAACGTACATATACACAAAACATTCATAGGCATAAAAATAGTTTTAGGAAAAGAAAAGAAACACTTTCACAGAAAGTCTGTCATAATTGTCCTATCCATAGGGTCACTAGGATGGAAACTTAGAAGTCACTGGATTGGGCATGGAATTAGCCTTTAAATTTTGTTTGGGTCACAGAAATCATAGGAAAACAGAATTTTAGGACTTGGTGCAAATGAGGCCCAAGAATCTCTTCCAGAGTTCAAATAATAAAAGATTAAGTCTGACCTATCTTGTTTTTATGCAACCCATGAACAAAGTATGTTTTATACATACACATATATGTATGGTTTTACAGGACCACAGCAACAGTCATTTAATTATGTATTTTCCACTTACATATGGTTACTTTCATGCTAAGTAATGTAACAAACTATATGGCCTGCAAACCCTATGAGGTATCCATGGAAAAAGTTGCCAATGTGTGATTTAGAGGATTCATTTCTTATGAGTTCGAGGCCAGCCTAGTCTACAGAGCCAGACAGGCTCCAAAGACACACAGAGAAACCCTGTCTCGAAAAACAAAAAACAAAAGCAACAACAAAAAGAATTCATCTCAGCAAATGCACTGTCATCTACATAATTCTATATAACTACTGGTAGACACGCTACTCCACCGTTTCAGACTGTCCCTAGGAGAAGAAAACGGGAGTGGAGCTCGGGATACATACCTAGCCTCTTTAGTGCAGTGGGCAGCCGTGAGGACCCACCTGTCTCTCACCAAGGCACCACCACATATATGCACAAGAATATCGCCGTCTTGAACCTGCAGGCTAACTAGCCACGGCCAGGCGCCAGCAGCAGCTCGTGTACCTCCTATGATCCGAGACCCTTCCAATGCGCCCCTAAGTGGTGCTATTCCACAACCTAAAAACAAAACAAAACATTATTTGGAGTAAACACCCACATTTTGTGTTATTTCCTAACGTGAATACATTAACACAAGTCTTTTTCTCTTTAAACACTGATAAAGCAAGCCAAATCCGGGGCAAGCTAAACTTTTCAATGGCAAATGCATTAAGACAAACACGCCATACTTGACTACTTAGTAACATAGAAACAAGTTTCTCTGGTCAAGCTCTTTTCTTTGTGGGACAGTGACTGAGAGCCTCAGTCCCCGCGGCACTGCAGCATTGCCTTGGTTTCTCTGTGTAGCCCTGGCGGCCTTGGAACCTTGTAGACCAGTGGTGGTACACGCTTGTGATCCCATTCAACAGGATCAGACAGGAAGAAACCTGTCTCAACAGTGAGCGTGTGTGTGTGTGTGTGTGTGTGTGTGTGTGTGTGTGTGTGTGTGTGTACGTAAAGCTTCAGGCTTAGTGGCTTGGGATACGTAGCTCAGTGGTAAGCGTGTGTAGGTAGCATGTTTATAAAGAAGCTCCTGGCTCAATCTGACATAAAACAAAAGTTGTGATTAAGAGATACAAGCTATGCATTTCTTGCCATTTAACCGGTTGAACAATTCTCAGCTGCATTCTGAAAAGGTCACCTAACAGCCCTTTGGGCCATGAATACTCAGACATTTGTTTATCAATTAAGTGCCGAACGCCTTCGGCGCTGGCAACGCTACCGAGGGTCTGGGAGCAGCTGAGTTCTGTCTCTGGGGTGAGGCGGTGAGGACAGTGGGCGAGATACTGCCCTTCGTGAAGGGCTCTTCCTCTTCCGGGGCCCCGGCCTCCGGCCCTGGCTTGCTGGCCTGCTCCTGCGCCGGGATGAGACGATCCCTGTGGGGCGTGTGGAGCTTGGAGTACACGAGGGCGCCGCCCAGGCACAGCAGCGCGGCCCTCAGCGCCCACGACCCCATGGCGCCCGCAGGCCCCAAGATGGCGGCGCCCGAGGCCCGCGCGCGCGGTGCCTGCCGGTCATTTCCCCCCACACAGGCAAGGTCGCCCGGACCCTGCCGCCAGCCGGAGGACTTTCGGAGTGCTGCCGGCTCGGGGAGGCCACGGGGGAGCCTGAAGGAAGCTGGCGAAGGAGCAGCCGAGCAGAGCATGTGGGATTGACACGGAGACGGTAAAGCCCGGGGCGGGTGCGCAGCCAGCACCTCAGGAGAGACAGGCAGGGGCACGGGAGGGAAGGGAGGTCTCCCCACGGTGAAGTCCCTCAGCCGCGGCTGAGACCACAGCTGTGGCAGACTCCGCGGGGGTGGCTGGGCGGCCAAAGGCCCTGGCCGGGTCACCAGACCTGGAAGACAGACAAGCACGCCCACTCACATCCGGAGCACGCCCACTCACGCCCTGGAGCACTCCCACTCACGGCCGGAGCACGCCCACTCACGCTCCATGCCCACTCACGCCCTGAACCACCCTCACTCATGCTCCACGGCCCCGGAACATACCTACACATGGTCACATGCTTCATACAGCCACAGATGCCCACAATAAGTCGAAATTTAATATTAAAAAACTTTGATGTGAAGATTGCCTACGTATAAATAATATTCCTTTTTAGTGAAAATATTTAAAATAAAAACATTAAAATGGCAGTAAATCATGCTTATGGCCTAAGCATATATGACCTTTTTGTGTTTCCCAACTACAAACCTAGAAGTTCCAAGGAATCTCAAAAGAAACCCATTTACGGTTAAAGACATGTCTTAACCCCATTGTGCAGCCCTTGTGGTCCATGGTTTATCTTTTTTCTTTTTAAGATTTATTCATTTTCATTGTGTGTATATATAAGTAGAACTGGACTTATGGATGGCCATGAGCCACCATGTGGGTGCTGGGAACTGAACCTAGATCTTCCAGAGAGCAGTCAGTGATCTGAGCCATCTCTCCAGCCCCATGCTTATCTTTAAAAAAAGAAAGAGGGGGCTGGAGAGATGGCTCAGTGGTTAAGAGCATTGCCTGCTCTTCCAAAGGTCCTGAGTTCAATTCCCGGCAACCACATGGTCTCTCACAACCACCTGTAATGAGGTCTGGTTCCCTCTTCTGGCTTGTAGGCATGCACGCAGAAAGAATATTGTATACATAATAAATAAATAAATATTTTTTAAAAAAGAAAGAAAATGACATTTTATTTTGTGTGTGCATGAGTGAACACGTGCATGTCTCTGTACATGTGTGAAGGCCAGAGGATAACTGTCAGGGATTGGCTCTCTCTCCACCATATGGGTCCTGGGGACTAAACTCAGTCAGGCCTGGTACCAAGCGCCTTCTCTCACTGAATCATGTTGGGGACCCAGCTGTTGTGGAATATTACTTTGACTAGGCAAATACGTGTTACATTTGTTTATGCTGCATTTATGTAAAGATGTGCGGCTGTTTCACCTGGCCTGCTTAAGGCACCTGATTGGTCTAATAAAAAGCTGAACCACCAGTAGCTAGGCAGTAGGTGGGTGGGGCTGGCGGGCAGAGAGAATAAATAAGAGAGAGAGAAGAGAATGAGGGTGGAAGAGAGGGAGACACTTGAAGCCAACCAGCCAAGCCACCAGCCAGACTTGGAAGAAGCAGGAAAAGTAGGTCATACTGAATGAAAGAAAAGTAAAAAGCCCCAAGGCAAAACATGAAGAGAAACAGGTTGATTTAAGCTATAAGAGCTAGTGAGACAAGCATAAGGCCGAGCATTCATAACTAATATGAAGTCCTGTGTCACGATTTGGGGGCTGGCATTCTGAGAAAGCCTGCTACACCCAGCCACAGTTTCATCAGATTACATCCTAATCAAGGTACCTTTGGAGCCACCCTATAATTTCACTTATCATTAAAGGGGGGCAGAGCTTTTTGGCAACCCTTTGAGATGTAATGAGAGCCACCAAAGTTGTTTGTGGAATGAACCGCTGCTATGGTGCTCCCATGGCTCTCCTTTGAAAGCCGCTGCTAT